TCAGCTCTATGGGCAGACATGCTTGTGGCTTGATCTAAGATAGTCCCCGCCCAATTTGCATGTAACAAAACGATTTAGTCAAAACATAGTTGCAATTTTGTTTCATTATTGGGAATCTTCCATTTCAAAACTAAGAAAAAAGGTTTCAAATTTCAGAAATCAGATATTAATTAAATTTTATTTATGAAATAATTAATTATAAATTCAATATATTAAGATAACAATTCTATATTATTTTTTCACAAATTATCAAATTAACTAGTGACAAATTATTTCTCAATCAAGAATCAAAACCTTAGAGGTCACAAATTATTTTACAGTCACAAAATCAAAAAATTTAAAGGTCACAAATCACAAATTTTATAAATCACGACTTAAATTTTTAGGTTACATATTATTTATTAGATACAATTTATCAGTTACATATTATCTATTAATCACAAAATATCCAATTATTAGTTACGATCTCAAATTATTGTGACCAATAACCGACCGCCACCATCAAAACCATCATCTCACAATTCTCCCCACCATCAGCACCACCAACGCATGTACCAAGAATCAAAACCACACCACCAATACCAACCAAAAAATCCCCAAACTTGTCATATCGCAGCTGTCGTCGCCACTACCATGACCACCACCAACACCAGTACCGCCATTGTCACCGCTACCGATCCACAATCACAACCACCGCCACCAACATCATACCATCACCATCTCCATTTCCATCGCAGCCACCATCACTTGAACTAAAAATCACAACGACCATTTTCTCAATCTTCATCTCCACCCCACCACACCACAACCACTACCCCCACTAAACAATCCCCAAACCGTCGCGGCCACCAAGACCTCTACAAAACTGCAGCAGACACCAACCAATCACTAGATCGGCCCGGTCCTGTGGCGAGGCGCTCAGGCCCAAAACTGGAGGGGGCCTATTTTTGGCCCTTTTTTTTTACAATTAGGCCAATACCGGATGGGCCTCATCTTTGGCCCAACTATATATTTTTTTTTAATTACAAAATGGAAAAATGAAAAATCAATTTTCATTCTCTCCTTCAGCCCGACTCCAACCAGTCGACCTCGTCCCTGCGACTCATCCAATCCTCCTTCCCTTCCATTCACTCTTTCATAAACCACAAGTTTCACACATTTCACAACTTTTTTCAACCCCAACGGCCTAACCGTGTGAATTGCGACTCCTTAGTCCTCCAGCCAATCGGTAGTCCACAGTTGAACTCTAAACAACAAACCCACATCAAAAATTCAAGAAAATAAAGCCTTTTCTAGTGGATTTTTCATCAAAAGTACTGTAAAGAAACTGAATCGGACAATATGAAAATGGCAGGTTTTTGTTTTTTTCGCCACTTTTAGTTTCTGTTATCAGAGTATTCATCGTGACAAGGGTTTTGAATCAGTGTAGTATGTATGATGACTAATTGATTTTTATTAACTGGGCTTGTGTTTTCTTGGGAAATGATGGCCATTGATGCTTTAACTTTTGAAGGACTGCTTAAAGTTGGGTGGAAAAATTGGCTATGCATTTAGTTTTGCTTCAGTGGAGCCATAAATGTCCATTTTTAGTTGTTTTTGAGTGGTTAATTCAATTGTTTCTGAATTTTCAGTTTAATCCATTGTTCTTACTGTATGTGTTTCCCCTCTAATTGAAGCTTTAATTGCCTATTGTATGATTTATTTCAAATTTTTACCCATTTTTGGACCCTCCTATTGATGACTTTGCTTTTGATTCCTCATTCCTCAATATTTCTTTTCCTATGTGATTTTGTT